ATAACACAAAATTATTTTTATTTATTTATATTTTATTTTTAAAATTTTAAAATTTAGTTTATAAATAATTATGATAAATAAAAATTAAATTAAATATAAAGTTAAAAGAGTATTTAGAAAAAAAATTCATAAAAACGTTGTTTCTATTTTATAGTTTAAAATTGGATTTCAATTTCAATCTGATTTAGAATTGGATTTTGACTTAAACTGGTTTATAATTGGATTTTGGTTTGAAACCGATTTTAGATCCGAATTGGTTTTAAAATTGGGTTTTTGAACAGAAACTAGTGTTTAAAAATCAACGTTGTTAAATATGAATTTGAATTTAAAATCCAGTCTATTTATTTAGATATTGATGGAATATTAAATTTTTAAAAATCTAATCCATGTCCACCCTTAACCTTAATACGTTCCTTTCTTCTCACTCCAACTCTCAATTCCAATATTTTTCTTGCGCAAACCTACAAAATACGAATGCACTGTAATTTTGTATAACATTAAAAAACTGTCCAACAAAAACAAACATAATATAAATTAATTATGAAACAAATTTTAAAAAATATATTTGAACGTAAGTATTAGTATAATATTTAATATTATTATTTTAATATTTATATTTCTATCATTTTTTGTTTTGAAATATGCGTTTTTAATATTAATGCCCGTATATAGGTATAAAATTTTATAAGAATTATTTTTTATATGATAATAAGTTCCAATGAAAAATATATATTTAATAGTTTTTATTTTAATTATTAAATTTAATAAATACAATAATAATACTATTTAAATAAAAATATTTATTTGTTTGACAAAATTTATTTATTTATTTTAAAAAGCAATAAAAATATAATATAATATCTGATTTTGTCATTAATGTAATACATATATTTTAATATTCTTAAATCAAATTTAATATCCTTAAATCTAATTTGTTTTTTGGTAAAGATAGGAAATATTACAAAGATGGTCGCAATGAGAATTGAACCTAGGTCCTCGTGCTTCTAACTACCCCAACCCCTCCCCACCCAACCACTAGGCTTCCTTAAATCTAATTTAATATCGTTAGGAACATTTAATTATATTAAATGTTCAACAACTATGTATAAATTTATTTTCATATATATATATATATATATATATATATATATGAGGATGGTTCAAACGACATTGGTGTAATTTTTACTAAGTATTACACCGTTCAATAACTTTAAATTAAATGTGAATTTTGTAAATTCAACCGTTAGATTGAAAGTTCTTTACTCTTAGATCATATATACAAAGTTTTATATTAATTCAAGATGATCTGATACTTCATTCTTATAAAACAAAATTGAAGTAATATATTTATATCAAAATATACTAAAATATGAACACTTTGATTACCCTCAAGTTGTTGTTCAATTTTAACAAAATTAGATATACACATATAAAGTGATATGAATTTTCAATCTAACAGTTAGATTTACAAAATTCACATTTAATTTAAAGTTATTAAGCGGTGTAACACTTAGTAAAAGTTACACCAGTGTCGTTTGAACCCTTCTCTCTCTATATATATATACTAAAATATAAAGTGATATGTGTGAGGACCCTATTTTTTTTTTCATCTTCCATTTTCACCCTTACTCATTTTTTTCAGCCTCACTCACTCTTCCTCACACAACTCTTTTCTCTCCAAACTCTCACTTCTCCTTTTCTCTCTTTTGCTTGTGGCGATTCTTGGCAGCTGAAGGTGCATAAGGGGTGTGAACTGATTTCCTCAAGCTGATTTCCTCTCCATTCACTTCCAAGCTTCTCTTCTCCTTCATTCTTTTCTTCCCGAAGCTCGGAACCTTCACCCGAGGTAAGGGAAGCTAGTGATTTTCTTTCTTTTGTTGCTGTTTTGGATGTGGATGAGTTCTAGAAACTCATTAGATGCTTATTGATGGTTGAATTCGTGGCTGGGTTGGATGAGAACTTGTTTTTGGGGGTTTCGGAGTTTTGAGAAAATTTGGGGAAATCCTTGATTTGTTGTTGCATGTTGAAAAAGGTAGTATTTTTGGATTCTTGGATGAAAATGTAGAAATTTGAATCGATTGCATGTGAAGTTTCTGGTTATTTTGCAGATGTTTGAAGAATTTTTCAAAAATGGAGGGTTGCTGCTGAGCTTCGCGCTGAGCGTTGTTCATCGCGCTGGGCGCATGGTCACCAGGAGACCCCATTTGGCCAAGCTCGCCGGGCGCAATGATGAGTGCGCCGGGCGCGCTTGAGAATGTGGGTCTCTGGTTGGCCCGCGCTGGGTGTGACGTGGACCGCGCTGGGCGCGATACTCGTTGTAACTTGTTTTTGGGTTCTTGAGGCTGCGCTGAGCGCGACCTTTATCGCGCTGGGTGTGAGACTCCTTGGGAGTCTCTGCCTTGTGGGCGCTGGGCGCAATCCCGAATTGCGTTGGGCGCGAGACCAAGGGGTGGTCTCTGCCTTACCCGCGCTGAGCGCTGGGTGAGGTACGCCGGGCGCGTGAGACTCCTTTGAGTCTCTGCCTGGCCAACGCTGGGCGCAATAACCATTGCGCCAAGCGCGAGAGAGCCTTGGGTTCTCTGGCTGAGTTTCGCCGGGCGCGGGCACACCTATGCTGGGCGCGCTGACCCCCTGGTGCTCTCTGGTTGAGCTACGCTGGGCGCAACCACGTATGTGCCGGGCGCGGAGATAAGATGGTTGTGTATGATGTTTTATGTTGAGTTGAATTGAAATGGAAGGTTATGAAATGATGTCTAGTAGATAATGTTGTTGCTACTATTGGCTTGGTTCTGGGGAATGTGTTGAGAAGTGGTGTTGTGTTGTGGATGATATGTTGAGCTGTGAAGCTGGTGTGTTGAGTTGTATAGATGTACAGTTGTGTTGAGTTGCAAGTTGATATGTTGAGTTGTATAAGTTGTGTTGTGTTGGAATGTTGATCTGAGTTGATGTAGGCCGCAAGGCTGAGTTACTGTAGGCCGCATGGCTGAGTTGTTGTAGGCCGCAAGGCTGAGTTGTTGTAGGCCGCAAGGCTGAGTTGATGTCGGCCGAAAGGATGAGTTGTTGTAGGAGATCTCCGAGTTGATATGCGTGACGACGCATTGTATGCTTATTGATGATAATGTTGAAAACCAGCGGAATGTATGTTGATGAAGTGTTGATAATTGTAGTTTTTTTTATTTCCTAAACCTTTATATATGTTGTTCCTTTTATGCTAGCTTACCCTTTGTGTTTCCATGTGGTTGGACTGCTATGATCGTACTATGTACGGGAGCAGAGCAGGGATAGGTGGTGGATAGTGATGAGTCGACAGCTGGTAGATGGAGTTGACTTCTATGAGCGCTTTGTTTGTTTTGGTCACTTGGCATAGTGACTTTTGATGAAATTCTTGTATTGCATGCTTTAACTCTAGTCGGACTCGGGACATATGTATATATTTATATTCTAGACTCTATATTTATATACTTGTTCTATTCTGTCTAGTGTTTCCGGTATGTTATGGTGGTGAGTGTAGTGGCCAGCCGGGTCGTTTCACTTTAGTGGTATTAGAGCAGGTCGAGTCTAGTGGACACTCTTTGGGGGTGGTTCCTTTAGGCTTTTGTTGTGTTAACTCTGTGTTGTGTTGCCTTGTTGTGTTGCTTGCTGTGCTAATTGATGTGATGAACTACTGTGTTGATAGTTGTTGTTTGGGTGAGTGGTAGTGTACTAAAAATGCTGTTATTTTGTAGACGATGACTAGAACCAACGAACAGATAGCCTGTGCCATAGAGATGATGGCTATGGCTATGCAGCAACAAAATGCATATTTTGCTAGGATGGAAGCCGAGAGAGCTGCAGCTGGTGGAGCAAGACCCACGGGGTCACTGGAAAGCCGGGACCTGGCTGAGTTCCGGAAGTGTCATCCCCCACAGTTTACAGGTGAAGCGGATCCAGAGGTAGCTGACCGCTGGATACGTGAGCTAGAGAAGATCTTTAATGTTCTAGGGTGTTCTCCAGAGAAGAGGTTGGCATATGCTATGTATATGCTGGTAGGAGAGGCCGAACATTGGTGGAGAAACACTTGCCAGATGCTTGCTGCTCGGGGAGTTACAGTTGATTGGGAGTGTTTCAGGACCGTATTCATGGAGAAGTATTATCTGGAGAGCGTGAGGCACGCCAAGGAGGCCGAGTTTTTGCAATTGCATCAGGGTGGGTTATCTGTATCAGAGTATGCATTGAGGTTCGAGCACTTGGCTCGTTTTTATTCACAGGCTATTTCTGAAGCCTGGAAGTGCAGAAAATTTGCGGAAGGGCTAAAGTATGAGTTGAAGAAGGTGGTGGTGCCTATGGCCATCACCGAGTTTCCTGCCTTAGTAGAGAAGGCGAAGATTGTAGAGAGGTTAGAAGGGAGTAACCGGGTGATCAGAGCTGTTGAGGGACCATCTGGGTCCAAGAGAGGAAGTGGAAGTCAGGGGAAGCTGTATGATAGGCCCCAGCCACAGCAAAGGGGTCCTGTTATTAGGCAACCTGCTGAGACTGCCAGAGGAGGAGGACAGGGTGGAGGTGCTGCCCTTAGGTGTTACAGGTGTGGCGGATCCCATTTGATCAGGGATTGTCCACACACTGAGAGCAGATGTTTCAGATGTCAGCAGATGGGCCATGTGTCTTTCAACTGTCCCACCAGGAGTAGACTGGAGAGGAGCACTCAGAGGAGCGATGCACAGAGAGCTGATACTCAGAGGAGTAATGTGTAGAGGACTGAGACTCAGAGGGGTGACAGACCCACTACAGCTGGTAGGGTGTTCGCTTTGACTGGTGCTGAAGCTTCGACTTCTTCTGACCCAAAACTCCACATCCAGCAGCAGTCACCACAGCTTCAACCTAACCTTGACTTACTCCTATACACAATATGATCATCACAGTCCTTTCACATAGAAACAAAAGGGTAAACTAGAGTTCAATAAATCACCATATAATCATAAGAATAAACATCTATGCTACACCATTATCCAATCACCAGTCAATCTCATAGAGTCACACCATACACTTTATCATACAACAATCATGCAGTAAATATAACTCATGACAAATATTAAGGCATATCAATCATCTAATGCATCATCACGTATTCATCCTACTGAAATCACCTCGACTGCTTTTACGCCCAAAGCGCCCTGCTGGGTCAACAACAAACCAGGATATAAAATCCCCCAAGTGTTTACTCGGATAACGTTATTTACACATTTGAAAGTCCGATTCCATTGTTTGGAATAGTATAGTTGGCTACAAGTTTACCATGATCTTGACATGTATTACTAAGTCACTTATGGAATTCGTCCACCGCCTATCCGCTAGGAACCACGCAACCTTCCCCAATACTTGGTTAAGGAAATAACTCTCGATCTCATACCCCGCTCTAACACTAGCTAAGGACTTAGAGGAGACTCACCCAAACTTGTGGCCTATCCAAGCACCACTCTCACTCAAAACTAGTGGCCTATCCAAGAACCACTCTCATCCATACCAGTGGCTTATCCAAGCACCACTCTCAAGAAACTCTATGTGAGCTCTTCTAGTTTAAAAACATTTTTCCTTCTCCTCAAGTCCTAGGCTAGACATATGCCATAAGGCACCACATGCAAACAATGCATCACACATCATACATGGTCAATTCATCATCATGATCAATTCATCCTCATATGAATATACATACATATCAATTTATGTTTACACAATCATATATATCATTTCCAAGCATACATATGAACCAAGCACCAATTTACATCATATATCAAACATATATGAACCAACATTAAACACTAACACATGCAAAGCATCACAACTCAAATCAAACACCAAAATACAAACTACATCTAGTGCAGCTCAGCTCGCGCCCGACCCAATCTCAACCTGAGAGCTCTAAGGCTCTCCCATGCTCGGCGTAACCCACTTGGCACCCAACCCGAAAGAGTCAGAGAACTCCTTGGTACACTCACACTCGGCGCAACCCACTTGGCTCTTGGCCCCAATACATTCACACCCAACGCAACCCACCTGATGCTCGACCCCATCTCAACAGAGACTCATATATTCCAATTTCTAATATCAGGCCCAATCCCACCCCTTTACGCCTGGTGCCATTCATCCAAAAATCCCCAATTTCATTTCACGCCTGATGCAACTATCCTTGCGCTCAGCACAAATATGAAATTTGGGTATCTAATGAATGCCTGCCCAACACCATGAAGGTGCGCTTAACACGAATATCAAAAGTTGGCACTCCAAGCTCAAAAATTCGAACAGAAACCTGCAAATCAAGAAATCTCAACCATATGCAATCCATACAAACACAACAAATAGACTCCGTACAATCCAAAATATGATATCGGATTCAACATGCATCCATGCAATGCATCAGAACCAACCAAAACCTTACAATTGGCCCAAAAACTCTGAAAATGCTAAACCCCCTTGATTAAGCAAATTCACCCACCAATCATGCATCAACTAAGTTTCTAAACTCACATGCAACCAATCTAACAATAGTCTAGCTTCTCTCACATGAAGATTGGGTTAGAAAAACTAAAAGAAAGAGGAAGAAGGAAGAGAATTTCGAACAATCGACCCATAGACTTCTGTGGAAGAAAATATGCACAAAGTTTTGATGATGTCAAAGCATTAAAGAAAATAAAGGTCAAGTTAAAGCAAGTTGATCAAGAAGCAAGATCTCAAGTAATAACTAGATAAGTCTTGACTTCTTAGCTTAGTATGTAAAATGAACTTTTAGAATTTGCAAATTTCACTTGGCCATTAAAATAAGAATTTCAAGAAAACCTAAACTTAATATTTTGAATATAAGAATAAGTTGTTTGAAAAGAAAGCAAAAAGAGTATTCAAAAGATTAAATAAAAATATTCTTAACTGGAAAATAGAAGCTCTCTATATCTTAAGTTTTCATAAGCCAAAACAAGTGATATGTGTCTGGTAATCGATTACCACTTGCTGTAATCGATTACCAGAGAAAGAAAACCTCTTATCAAAAGTTTAAATGTTAAAATGCTCTCTGGTAATCGATTACCAGTGACTGTAATCGATTAGCAGAAGAGAAAATTTCAAAATTTGAATTTGAATTATACAACGTTTCAATCATTTTGAACTTTAACCGTTGTAATCGATGACAAAGTCTTGTAATCGATTACCAGAACCTATTTTCTGAAAAATTATAGAGAGTTATAACTCTTCATGAGACATAACCCAAGAAACAATTTTCTATAAATACCTATAATTTTTCAGAGAAAAGTGACGAACTTTATTGTGAAAATCATTTACAAAAACTACTTGGCCAATATCATTTGCATAAATCTCTAAAGAGTTCATCAAGTTCTTAGAAAGTGTAATATCTACTCTTCAAAGAGAGTCATCCTGTAATACCCTATTGATATGTTGATCTTTAATGGAGAAAGGGTTTTTCTCCTTGTTGGTTTTTGAATCACAACACAAGGAAAGGGAGTTCCGAGGTGTTGGTGGATTCAAGTCTTTTAAGGTTTACAAGAGTAGTGGAAATTTCAAGTGGGAGACTTGAGGACTGGATGTAGGCAGGATTGGCCGAACCAGTATAAAATCAAGTTTGCAATTCTTCTTCCCTATACTTTTAATTTCTTGTTATACACTTTTATTTATTTGTTATTTAATTGTGTTTGTGTTGTTCTACATCATCATTTTTTACATACAAATTTGTCTAAGGAAATAAATTGATAAGAAAGTAATTGGAAAAGTTTTTATAAGAGGAAAATTTAGAAAACTTAATTCACCCCCCTCTTAAGTTAATTGAGGCTAAGTGACTAACAACTTCAATCTGCCAAAACTAAGCTTCCTAACCTGAGTTCCAAGAAAAGATAGAAGAGATTAGTGATTTAGAAGAGAAGAGGAATCAAGTAGAGAAGTTTGGGTGAGAAAGGAGTTCACAGACCTAGAGCCCTTCTCTCTAGAATTCTTTGAAAATGAGCTTAAGAGAGTCTGTTCTCAGAGAAAACCTTATATACTCTTCTCTCTAAAAAAAATTAAACTCTAAACAATTAACTTACCATGTTACAACAAACATTAATATCTATGTTAAATGTAACCATAAATATCATTGATGCAAGCAATTTAATTTTTCATTAAATTATTACCTATAGTCATATTTAACATATATATTAATAATTTATTTTTAGACAAACATTAATATCTATATTAAATGTAACCATAAATATCATTAATATAAGAAATTTAATTATTTGTTAAATACTCCTTTCATTCTCCAAATAATTTAAGGTTTTTAAGACATGGATTAAAATAAAATTTACAATTTTGATATCAAATTTAGTATCATGTAAATTTTGTCTATAATTTTATTTTATAATTAATTTAAAAATAAAATCTTATTTCTAATATATATATATATATATTTGCGGTGCCTAAGCAATTCGTGACCCTATATGAATTTTATCTTCAAATTTAAAATTAATATTGTACTTATTTTGTACTATATGGAAACCTACACTTT